GTTCAAGATCCACTTAGTTAAACGAAAACCAGCCTTAGCTAACACTTCGGTAATACTTGTTACAAACTAAACTGCGGACTCACCATCATCGAAATAGGCCAAACAATCATCCACATAGAAGCAACAATCGATGACGTCCAGCAGATAATCAGAACCAAACGTGGACACAGCCTTATGTAAAGCGAAATTAGCACAGAACGGAGAGGACGTGGCACCAAATGGATGGACTGTCATCCTATATTCTGACACCTTACCACAAGGACCATCATCACACCACAAGAACCTTAAGTGATCTCTGTCGCTCTCTGGCACTTTCACTTGCAGGGACATTTCCCCTATACCCGAAGCGACAGCAACTGCAAACTTTCTGAATCTTAACAGCAGTCCAACTAATGAGCTCACGAAATCTGGACCACTACATCGATTATCATTCGAAGAAACTCCATGTTTCGCAGAACAATCGAACACTACACGGAGTTTACTTGGCTTCCTCGGAAAAGGTGGGTTAACAGTTTAAGAACGCTGGATCTACATTCCGTCTCACGTCCACTTAGGCCATCCAGAAATCATGATATAATTGACTTCCATGCCTCTGAGGTTGGATTTGGAGAAGCCGTCTACATCAGAACTACCTCAGGGCATGATATAGATGTTCGCCTCGTGATGGGTAAATCTAGAGTTGCACCTCTAAAGACGGTTTGGATTCCGAGATCAGAACTTACTGCAGCCTTGCTAGCTGCGCAGTTATTCACAATGGTGTGTAAGGAGTAAGATTATCCCATGTATCCTGTGACGTTTTGGACTGATTCAATGCCTGTGATATATTATATACGCAACGAGTCAGCAAGATATGCATGTTTTGTAGCTAACAGAGTATCTCAAATTCGTGAATTAACAGCCGTTGAGCAGTGGAAGTACTTACCTTCTGAAAAAACTCAGCTGATCTAGCGTCGCGAGGAGTTACTCATATGAATGTGGTTAAAAATAAGTGGTGGAAGGGTCCGGAGTTCTTGCTACGAGCTGATAGTATGTGGCCTAGTAGAGAAGATGAACCACCGATAAGTGAGTGTGTCTTGGAGTTTAAGACAAGTGTCAGTTCAACATCTACTCAAGAAAGACATTCTGGTTTACGTCCACTTTTTGAATATTCTTCTTCTTGGTACAAATTACTGAAGGCTGTTGCGTGTTTGACACGATATGTTACGTATTTAAAGGTCATGCATCTTGCAGGATACGATAATATGAATGTGGGACCTTTAAGAGTTGAAGATATTAGGAATGCAGAGTTAGCGATCTTGAGGGCTGCTCAGTGGGAAGCGTGGGGTGAGACAGCCAAGCAGGATAGTCCCGATTTCGCAGATTTCAAGGTGCGGTTAGAGAGATTATCTCCGATAGTTTCCGAAGGGATCGCTAGAGTTGGTGGACGTCTACAGATGTTAGAATCGTCATATGAGACCCGTCCCCGGCCTTATTACCTTGCTGCCAACCTGTTACTGATCTCACTATAAGGCGCCACCATGTTCTTGAAAGTCATTTGGGTTCTTCACAAGTACTATCAAGTATTCGATCCAAGTTTTGGATAGTGAAAGGTGGTACTGCTGTCCGTAAAATAATTGATAAGTGCATGGAATGTAAATTGAGGAATGCTTGCTCAGCACAGCAGATGATGGCACCGCTCCCAGCGTGGCAAGTTTCTGAAGAGAATTATCCATTCGAGTATGTCGGAGTGGATTTGTTCGGACCTTTTGTAGAGAAGAGAGGTAGAACCCTGTACAAAAGATATGGCTGTTTATTCACCTGTTTGAAAATGAGAGCTATGCATATTGAGATGGTTCATACGTTAACTACTGATTCATCCGTTCTAGCATTACGTAGATTTATAAATCGCCAAGGTGCACCGAAGATGATGTTCAGTGACAGGAGGACTAATTTTGTTGGCTGTCACGCCGAGCTTAAAGAGTATTTCGAAGGCCCTCAAACGACAGCTCACGAAGAGTTATTGAAAAGAAACATCGAGTGGCACTTCAACCCACCACATGCCAGCCACTGGGTGGGCTATGGGAAAGACTTATAGGAATTATTAAGCGTATTTAAGCTCCAAAATTAGAAACGAGAGTTTGAATGACGAAACGTTGGAGACATTTTTGTGTGAAGCTGAACGAATACTAAATGACCTGCCGCTATCACCTGTGAGGGACGACGTCAAGGATTTCGATGTGTTGACTCCAAATAAATTATTGTTATTGAGAGGTAACCCTGGCATAGAGGACTTGAGTGCGGAACGAATACCTACGATTAAAAGATGGAAACAAGCCAGGTACATGAAAGATATATTTTGGAAAAGATGGTTAAAAGAGTATGTTCTAACACTGCAAACAAGAGACAAGTGGAAAAAGTTGTGCAGAAACTTAAAGGTCGGTGATATAGTCTTAGTAGCAGATAAATGTGCCACAGGTAGATGGCCTTTGAGAGTGGTAGAAAGGGTACTCTGTAGTGGTGATGGGTTGGTGAGGACGGTCGAGGTGAGAACAAGTTGTGGTATGCTGGTGCGAGATATAAGAAAACTGTGTCTGCTGGAAGGTGCTGAGAGTCGAGAGTCAGAGGATGGACCACTTGACGATTTTCCAACTTAGGGCGTCAACCTGAGAAGGGTTGTAGGCGTACTGCTGTAAGTCCTACAATTCTTCAAGGGTAGTACGTCGAAGAGCAGTCCAGCATACTTAATGTGTTGCTTTGTACAAATGTTCATTTTGTATATATTGATTTGGTGTCATCTTTCATCTACTCGTTGGTTAGTATTGTTTGTGTTCGGACATTTTCCACCTGAGAGGCGTTGCAGGCGTACTGCTGTAAGTCCTGCGATTCTTCAAAGGAATTACATCAAGACATTTTCTGCTAGGCTATGTGTACTGTTTGTATATATGCATGGCTTATCGTATCAATTGGTGTTTTTGGATTCATTGTGTTTATTTGTTGTTTTCGTACTTTGTTGTATTGTATAATTTTGTCAAAATTTCGTCGTGCTTACTTCTGAAGTTGTTCCGAGTCTTCTACATCTGTGAATGAATTGATTGATGTTAAAGACAGCAGATGGGTTGTATGCGCCGGGAAGACTGGCGCTGAGAATGACATGCACATGTAGACAAGGATTCGCTGTGGAATCAATGATTGAGAATGAATGTTTCGATTCAGGCTGGGGTCCCACACGCCGGAGAGCGAGAGTGTAGATGACTGAGGCTTGCATACGTCACCGTAACTGGAACTGCGGCAGAATGAGTGACAAGTGATAGCAGTGGTAATTGGTACTGAATAGATAAAAGGATGTGCGAAGAGTATCATGAGGTGCTGCTATGGCCACGTTGCTTTCTGCAACAGTCATTCTGGCAAGTGGCGACTGTGTTGCAAGATGTCAAGACGATGCCTTTAACTGGAAGGCGTAGGTCGTCGTCGACGAGTGAGATTGTGCTGTGGGTATGCCTGTGGTGTGTTGGCTTTGTTGTTTGTTTTCCATTTCAGCTTTGTCCTTGTGGCCCAGGTTCTCGCACTGGTATCCAAGTCAACGTGTATTGGTGGTGATGGAAAAAAGGGATGGATCCATTTTTGCCGGGAGGTGTCAAAGTAGTTGAACAATGAACGACCAATTTAACGGTTGTTTGCACAAACCCAACTCCATATTTTGGCGGGAGTCATCGATAGTGCAGTCATCGTTCTATCGTTCGCCGCTTGTTAGAAGACAGAGAAAAACTATCAGAAGTATTATTGTGATTAATTGTTATAACATCTATCCTTAGATTTTGTGTACAATAACCTTGTGGTTGGTTCTGTATTGGTGCAAGAATATAGGATTCTTGAATCACCAATTTGTGTTCTGGTTTTTCGCGTTGGTTATTGACAATAGTTTCTAAAAGTCTTCTAAGAACAGCGTTAAGTCCTGGGTAGTTAGACCTGGACATTGATATTGGGGTTTTTTCTCACCACTGGCCTAGGGGTAATTTAACTAGCGCCCGTAGGAGTGTAAATTACTATAATCACCTGAACAAAGGAACTCCACCATTAAGCCATTACACACTCCTCCGTTCAACCTGCAGAGCAACTAAAAACGCAGGCTGTTATGTTGCAATGCATTCTGCTCTTGAGTGTCAGGCTAACCCAACACTGTAATGTGTCCTGATTTCTTTTCATTTCATTTTACTGACAGCAGTAGCTACCGAAAGCTTAGTGAAAAGATAGGTGAAGGATGGACAATCGAGCGACAACACAAGGACTGCATCCGAATAGGCTATCTTTTCCCACACACTAAACTCGTCCACAACCCTTGACAAGTCTCACTTGTCTGTCTTTTAACTACCACGCCTATTCACTTAAAATCTATTATCTATTTGCTTGTTTGTTTTTCTCTTGAAGTTTGCATAGTCCCCATTAACTAGATTATCTTTATGGTCTACTTTTTCAACCACACCAGACGTTCAATAGGTGAAAGGATTAACTCCATTAACAGCAACAGCATGGTCTTAACATGCTGCAAACAGCTTATAGATGATCCCCTAGCCACTTCTCTGAGAAACACTCAAAACCATGGCAGGCTAGTGACGGGGAAAACTACACAGGATATTAGTGAAGATCAGGCAGCGACCTCAAAAAATTGATTTTGTTCTAAACTAACATATGCATACGACGTTGGATATTGAAGGCGATGCATCCAAAGAAAGGCTGTAAAAATATCTGTTAAAGAGATCCAAGATAGATCTGTTATATGCAAACTACACTTATGAAAATTTCCGGTTTCTTATGTCATCTTACATATTTGTGGCCATCAGGTGGCCTTTAGGGCGCGTCATTCAAAGTAGTCTGGACTGCGCGCCAAATCAGTAGTTCACCGCCAGCGGATGTCCATTAAAGAGGGTTACTTAAAAAAGTGGTCAGGTACGTCAAGCATATTTGATACTATAGGTGAATTTATCTTTAGATACGAAAAACTGGACTAACGTATATTGTAAATTACTACAAAGTGGTTGGTTTCAATGGTTCGACAGTGCATCGTCTACTTCGCCTAAAAGAAGTGTTGATATTAGAGTATGTAGTATTGCAAACATTGTTTACTTTCTAGCGTGTGGCAGCATTCCTTGCCATTGGAGATGTTATCCATCGCGTCCCATGCAAACCAACTTCATTAACGAGTGCAGAAATACCGTTGTCCTTCGGTATTCCTTTTGAACCACATGTGGGAACTAAAATGGCTTGGTTTGTTTGTCCGGATCAAGCAACACTAAAGTACGTTTACTGTCGGCCTAATGTTCATCAGACATATACGTTTTTTACTGTTCCACTTTTAGCATATTGAATGTAATGTAGGTGAGCATAATGTGGAATCCAATTTAGCAGCGATTAACATATAGTAGCCTATTATTGAAACTTGTAGTTTTCTGTATAACTGTCAAAAGAGAGGGAAAAGCATGTTAGTGCGTACTTAAATTTTGCACAGTAATTGTAGATCAAACAATATAGGTTGTTTATGCTTCCGGACATACTGGTGTTGACAGTTTGGAGAAATACTTCACCTCACTTCCTGTTAGTATACAAACCTCAGTACTTTAGGAGTTATAATGTAAGACATTTGCCCATCGATTTGACTTCACTGGGGTTTGAAAAATAATAGATGTTAATTTTCCCAGACAAATATTGCCATTAGTAGTTATTGAGATTGTTGCTTCATATTTTGTATAATAACCTGATTACTTCCCGGACGCCTTGACCTGAGCAAGTGGATACCTTAAAGGGTCATTTGCCGACCGTTTGATTTGAACCCTGAACAACAGGGCAGCAGATCTGCGTTTCCCTGATTGCGTGTGACTAAAAGTGCGTTCAGAAGTCATTTGACCCTTTCAGCTTCTGGAGCCGATATGCACTGTATGTTTAGAATCAACGTTTTCAAGCTCCCCCAGGGCAAACCTCTATGTCCACCACTCCCAAGTTGAATGACAGTTTCCTTCAATAACACTTACTATTTGGGGCCACGCTTTGTAACAATTTTATATTACATCAATGTGTATTATTTATTTATTTTTTCCCTTCACGTTTCCCAGTGGAACATAGGGCTTCAAGCTAGTGGCTTGAAGTTTCTGTAGCAGTGTTTATTTTACAGCATAGGGTTGCTAGCCTCATACCCAACCTTTCCTCTTCACCAGCATTATTTCTGGCTTAGCGAGGTAAAGGAGTGCGTCGGCCGGGTATCGAACCCGGACCATCTGCACGGTCGGCGAGCGTGCTAACCGCTATGCCACCGACGCACTACATCAATGTCTACTAAGTTTGAATTGGGTTTATATATTCAATTTAACTACCTTTTCGGCAAAGTTAAACTGTCATATCCAAAACCACGATGACCCTGAACAACCAACTAGAACTCTGATTCAAAAAAGTTGCAAATTTGTTAAAAAATACACTAGAAAATATTGCTTTGATATTACACTATATAGTTGTAGCTTATGTGTTGTAAGAATGTCTCCCAGTCAATACACAGATGATCCATAGAAAAATAGTCCCATGGATGATATGCCCATTCATCCAAGTGACTGCAGGTCATGGTACTTTGAGATCCATTGGTATCTATTCTTCAACCTACTCCTAACTCGAATCATAATCCTAACTTTAACCCCATACCTAACCTTAACCCTAGACCCTATTCCTTAATCCTAACAGTATAGATTTGCAGGGAAGGTATCTAGTAAGCAAGTAGAGTACCCTATCTATCCTCTCCAAGTTCCAAAAGGCAGGCATGATTTGATTTAGAATGATATTTCATAATATTCTCTGTATGTGATCGGTTCTTGAAGGCCAGCTTTTAAAAGACCTTGACTTTGGCTATGGTACTTTCTCCACTTGTATTGTAAGCTTCTTTGATTGGGGTGTGTGTGTGTAAATACTATGACACGTTCGTACTTTATTTTTTATTACTAGGGTGAATTAAAATGCTACTTCTGTCTAAGTTCATCTATTATCGTAATGTGGGTTCAATGACCAAAAGGATTAAAAGGAATTATTATTGTTTCCTGTAATTCCTATAGGAACATAGGGCTTCAGCCGTGCGTCTCTATTGCGTTCGGTTCTCTGCTAGAGTTTTCACCTGGCTCCAAGTCTGCCCACGCGCTTTCATCTCCTCTTCATATGACCTCCTCCAAGTCACCCTTGCACTGACGACCAAATCGCTGCTTCCCTTTCGGGTTCCACTCGAGCGATGGCTTGCCTAGTGATGTCACTTGATAGTTTCCCCAGAGTATGGCCAATCCACCTCCATTTCTTCCTGCCTATTTGTTTCACAATCGGTTCCTCCTGGGTTGGTTCGCTCCCAGAGATCTCTGTTGCTGATCTTTTCTGGCCATCTGATCTTGAGGGGTATTGAGCGAAGACAACTGTTTATGAAGGTCTGTAGTTTGTTAGAGATGCTCTTTATGACGCGCCAAGTCTCTGATCCGTATAGCAAGTAGCACTGACTTCACATTGGAGTTGAAAATCCGGATTTTATTTTTGATGCTGAGTGCTGTTGACCTCCACACAGACTTGAGAGTAGTGAAAGCTTTTCTTGCTTTTCCGATTCTTGCTTTGATATTCTCGTCAGTTCCGTCCGCCTGTAGTTGAAACGATGCTTCCCAGGTAGGTAAAAGAGGAAATCTGTAACTAGATTTAATTTGCTTTTTGTTACATATTGGTGTTGAGTTGCGTCTTCTGGCTTTCGAAGAAACATTTCATTTTAATTATTGTTCATATATTTCCGAACAAACAGTATTACCATAAAAACAGAATTAATAGCTAATATACCACGTCGTTTATCTCTAAGTCAAGTAGGTGAAGAAGAGAATTGGAAATAATGTAGATGAAGAGTACTGTGAAATTCAGTCATCAACTGAGACAGCATTCAGACCAGAGACCCACTGATTGAGAAGTGACTTCTTTGTTACAAACCAACTCTCTATCGTTAAATCTGCATTGTAGGCCAACGCTGAAACGCCCATTTTCATATTTACAAGACTCCCCAACTATTTTAACTGCCTTTAAGTCTTCCACAGAACAACCCTTCTATGGGACACTGCAGTCAAAAAACTCCTTGTCATACATATTTCTAATCATAGTCTCCATTTTGTCCCCATTGTGTGTGACCAATGATGATATGTGGACCATGGGTATAGGTCCTCTCACTGTCCATCCTAGTGGTGTTTTCGTCGCAAACAGATCATCTCTACCTCCGTATCTCTCTTCTAATACCTTGTGAGCTTCTGGTACACTACATCCAATGAGTATTCTCACTCTACTATCTTGCAGTGTTGGAAACGGTATGTCACACAGGTGTGGCTTACCGACAACTGTTTCACGACTAGGTACTATAGCTTCGCCGAGTTTCATACTGGAAGTAGTGTAGGCAGTACCTACTTCAACGGTTTCTCCAGTAGTCAATGATCCTAACTGAAATGACACTCGTTCACATCTTAACGTTTTCGAAGAATTGAAAGTATTTAGGACTAAGGATTGCTTTGGGCCCTTAATACCTAAGCAGCCAGCCAGCTTAGCATCTATCGATGTAATGTCCGAACCATTATCTAGCAACGCATATGCATCGACAGATGATCTTGGTCCTCTTACTCTTACTGGCACAACACCTAAATAGACCTTCTGGAAGTCGTGCGGTGCAAAACTGCTCTTACAATTAATAGAACTCCCCTGATTCTTCGATACTGTCAACAGCGGATGGAATCCTGATGAATCACTACCACCATTCTCAGCTGTCTTACAGTTAAGCCTTGTGTGTCCGTCTTTTAAACGGCAGAAGCATAACCGTTTCCCTTTCACAATCTGTAGCCTTTCTGTCGGAGACATTTGAAGGAAACGTGAGCACTCACTAGGCATGTGTACGTCGCCACAGATAACGCACTTCACTGAACATCCAATGCTTTGAGAACCTCTCGTCACACATGGCTCATAGCCTGATTAACATTATCTGTCACTAATCTCAGTATATCGTCGAACCCTGGCTCTAAACCTTCATCCTCTATACGAGGGCTTATCTTCACCCATTTCCTTTGCATTCGAGTAGGTAGGCGCCTCGCTATTACCTCTAAGACAGAACTCGTGTTCAGATCGCTCATGCAATTAATCGAAACCAACGTATTCTTGTAGGTCATCAGATTATCCAAAAACTCAGTGAGTGCCTTGGAGTCATCTCGTAATTGACTACTATTACCCTTGACAGCCTCGAATACATTCCTCACAATCATCGAAGGTCTTCCAAACCTTTGACGCAGGATACGGATAGCCTCCGTGTATCCCTCCCTAGGTGGCAGAAACTTGCAGCACTGTATTGCACTCGCCGCAATTCCGGCAATATACCTCAACAAGTAAATTAGTTCCATTTCATCACTTAGTTTTAGACCCTGTAGCATGACTTCGATTTCTTTCACAAAGCGAGGAAAGTCAGCATGATTCCCTTCAAACCACCTAGGCTCCAACTTCAGTGGCTTCAAGCAACTTATCTCCCTGGCTGGTACAACATGCTTGTCCAACATAACATCAGACATAACATTACACACGTTAGACAAATCATCAAGACTTACTTTGTCGTCTGCCTCCAAAGTGCTTCGTCTTTTCCTTGGCCCATGAATTATTGAACTTTACCAGACGATCCGGAGAAGTTCCAAATAACACCAAAGAAGACTTGCAGACGCAGCGAAAGACGAATTGCCACCAAATACAGCGAATACTTCCAGAAACTATCAGAAACCGTTAATGACCAGGTCTAACTACCCTGAACTTAACCCTCTTCTTAGAAGACTTTTAGAAACTATTGTCAATAACCAACGCGAAAAACCAGAACACAAATTGGTGATTCAAGAATCCTATATTCTTGCACCAATACAGAACCAACCACAAGGTTATTGTACACAAAATCTAAGGATAGATGTTATAACAATTAATCACAATAATACTTCTGATAGTTTTTCTCTGTCTTCTAACAAGCGGCGAACGATAGAACGATGACTGCACTATCGACGACTCCCGCCAAAATGTGGAGAGGTTACTAATCTCGGGGACATTTGGTTGCGTAGATCTGTAGTACCCCTGTACCAACTATAAACATACGATTTTAATCTAATTTGCATACTCATATTATATGTTTACACATACC